GTATACTATGAAAAGAAGAAAAAATTATTTTAGGAATTAATATGTGTTGTCTTTATTAATAAATTCATATTAAGATATAATATGAATTAAAATTTATAAATTTAAATAAGGCGCACTGAGATATATTTTTAGTTTAAATAGAATCTCCCTGTACATAGTGTTTAAGGGAAAGGGAAGTAAGGCCAGGATTGAAATCCAACTATGAGCCGGGATGGGAAGGTTAAAGGCCCAAGAATTGGCCCAAGCCCTCAAATTAATTGTGGAATTGAAAAATTAAACAAGTTGAAATTGTGCGAGTATTGGACAAAATCAAGAAGAAACTAAAATTAGGGAAAACAAAATTTAGGACTCGTTTCGTTCGTCTTAATATCTGGTTTCTAACCTTTTTTTAATCTTAGGATAATTTGTCAATTATCATTCATTTTTTACTTTATAGGGGCCTTTAGGGTGGGTTTTTGACTTTTACACAAAAAAGGTAAAAATAAAACCTAATAAAAAAGTTTCGTTTGTAATTTGAAAATAACTTCTTTTTTTTTTTTTTGTATTTTTTAAAAGTAAGTTGTTTTCAGAAATACTTTCAGAAGCAATTTGACAAATAATTTTTTTTGTATATTTTGAAAAATGAAAACAAAAAACAAAAAATGAAAGCAATATCAAACAAGCCCTTACATCTTTTTACATTATTGTAGTATAAAATGCTTGACTTAGTCATCTCATTCTTATAACCTTTCTTTCCATCGAAACTAAAATAAAAAATAAAAAATCCAAGGTCAAGGATTGGTAATCAAAGGTAAATGATTACTAATTTATTTAAATCTTGCAGGATAATATTTATATGGTCTCCAATCCAACTCTCAAAAAAAAGCTAAGCCATGACAAGTACCCAAAAAAAGGTGTATCCTCTCATTTCAATAAAGTTGAGCATTTCTTTAAGCCCTCAAAATGGACTATCTTTTTGTGCATATCTCCATGGACTCTATCCAAGGGTGGGACTACATGTCCATAGTTTGTGTAAAGGTCCACTTTCTAAAAGACTTCCACTATATATTTCCCTCCTCCTCCTCTACTACTTGCTTGTAGGTTCCCCATCCCAAAGAAAGTGCATTGGTAAGTCAAAAGTGTCCCTTAACAGAGTCCCCATCAATGGTTTCATAGGGACAATAGTACCATAGACTTGTGGGGCTTACACAGTTATCTACCCTAATCACAGTAATAAGAGTACTTTGGGCTTTCTTACTTTGATATGAATTGATGAATAATAGTGGCAAATTAGGAATAATCTTATACAACTAATAAATTTTATCAGTTATGCTAGAAATAAAGAAAATTTTCACATAATAAAACATATAGGTGAGACAAAAGGTGGCGAGATTCACATTTAAGAGTCATTTGGTATCTAAAAAAGTTAACTTTGGACTAAAAAAGTCAAAAAAATGATTTGCCATCAACTAAAAAAAAGTCAAGTATCACATTAACTTTTTCACTCATACAAAATAATTTTTTAGCAATTTTCCAAATAAATTCACATTTTTAGCTCCAAAAAAAAAAATTAAAAGTCAAAAATCTGTCACATTCCATGAAAATCTTTTATGCAGTTTGCATTTCTCAAATTTATCAACTTTTTTTTTTTTAATACTAATTAGGGTGGCACTAATCATATTGTTGTAATGTGTCCTGTTTTGAATACTAAATTTTTTAATTGCATACCACATCAATAAATAAGAAAACTTGTAAAATTTATTGTTTTATATATAACATTTTCCTGTAAATTAGGGTTTAGTAAATTAGACAACACATCAATTGAAACATGTAGGGTGTCCATGCAGTCTCCAAGGACCCTTATTGGAACACCAAACATTCTGCCATAGTTCCAAGGTGGTCAGCTATTTATTTATTTTTATTTAGAGAAAATTCAAAACTTTATTTTAACCAAGCACAAAGGTCAAGATTAATCTCTTTGAGAATTGTTTAGTGACACAAAAAAGTGAAATAACTTTAAGAACTGTTTGGAAAAGCTAAAAGAGAATTGTTTAGTGACACAAAAAAGTGAAATAACTTTAAGAACTGTTTGGAAAAGCTAAAATAAGTCAAACCAAAAAAACATATTAATCTTTTGTCATGAAAGAAGTATAAAAAACTTCAAAAAGGTAGCTGGTCTCTTATTAACATCCCCATAAATGCATATTTTATAGAGATCTATGGTTTTCATGCAAACTTAACCAAATTAAATAAATAAATAAAATTGCTCGACATCCTTACTTTCCATACATTTGGAAATTTATATCATCATCTGATTTGCTTATATATTTTTCTTTTAATTTTTATGGTGATCTGTTTATAATTATTAAGGGTTGTAAATTACAACAAAGAAGTTTGAATTGAGTCAAAAATCAACCCAAGCTTAATATTACCCCCAAAAAAGAAAAGAAAAGAAAAGGTTAGGTGCAATGAATTTGTGTACAAATAAAATGCACAAACAAAAGCGAAGCGTTGATCCAACCCATGTAATATAACGAGAAGTTAAATCCACACCAAATTATTGTTATTTTTTTATTAAATAAAATTATACATATTAATTAGTGTACTAACGGATGATCTGTAATAATTGTAGAGGTTTTGAGTCTTGTAGTTTGTATAATTGATGAGTTTCATAATTTTGAAGTGATAATGTCATAGAATATATTGATATACCAATTGATGTATGTAACATTATTCTTTTTCATTTGATGATTGTATAATGATGGTGGCAACTTCCGGTCATAGAATAATGGTGGCAACATCGATAATTATGACGGTTGTAAGATGAGACTAATGTCAGTGCAGGTATAGAGAAGTGATGGTGATGGTGATGATGATGGTGACAAAAATTAGAATGTTACTAGTATTTTTGAAATTAAGAACTATTTTGAAAAGTAATTTATTTTAAAATGAATGGTGCCAATATAATGAAAGCAAATCATTTTGTATAATTACAAAGAATGAAAGTTAACTTAACCTTAAGATGAAAAAAAATTACAAATTAAACAAAACTTAAATCAAATTAGAAAAAGGCCTCTTTTGAAAAGACAAAAAAAAGTTAAAAGTCAATTTTTAACCTATTTAGGTTATATCATTCTTTTTTATTTTTTTACATATTTTCTATAAATAAAAAAATCAATTTTTAACCAATTTCTCAAAATAATCCAATATTTATTAAACATCATCTACACACCATGTGAGATAGGGCAAAGATTTTAATTAAATAGTTATAAATAAATTGTGACAGGAAAATAAAATAGAAAAAAAATAAAATTATGGGTTTTATATAAAGTGATGTGTCGATAAAACAATTAGATTATAAAGTTGAATCCAAAAAAAAAAAAAAAAATTAAATAAAGAAAGAAAAATTAGATTGTAAAGACACCAACGTTGACGAGATCGTCGGACTAGTTTGACGCTTGGTCAACGAATCTCGTTGTTTTCCGTTTTTTTTTTTTTTTTCTTTTCTTATTTAATAATGTTTTCTTAAAAAGAGAAGAGTCCCAGTGTACGTAAAAAGATTATTGAGAACACGTAGACACACGAAAAAAATAAAAAAATAAATATAGCAAACAACAAACTACGAAACAACTGCACATGTGTGGTTCGGAGGAGAGTCACTTCTCGTAGTTCTGTCCACCTCCGACATCCCCACTGTACCTCCGCACCAACATCCACTGTTACCTTTCTTTCTCCCAACTCCTGTTTCTTTACCATTTTGCCCCCTCAAGTTTTGTCATTTATCAACACGCCCGCGATGGGCCGAGTCGTGCCCGGTTGGCTCATTTTGCAAAAATAATGCTCAACCGTGTCCAACGGGCATTTATAAGTTGAGTTAGTTCGTTTGGGGTCAAAATATTAAGCTCAAGTCTTATTTATAGTGGGTTTGATTTAGAAGACTTCACGGACAAGCATATATGTTAAGTTGACGAGTAAGTGGATAGACAATTTTTATTTTGTTTTTTTTTTCATATTTAGTCAAGTCACCTTTTATGAGCCATCAGGTTGAGTCAAGTTTCAAACCCATTGCCCAGCTTCAGCACAAACCTCGGTCAAACATTTAGGCCAAGTTTGGGAAGACTAAATAAGTACATTTTTTGTCTTTTTAGACTAAAAAATTGAGGTTGAAAATATGGATGTTTGGGTTAACTTTTTGACTTTTATTGGAAAATGTGTAATAAAAAATTGTAAAAATTGATTTGAAGGGAAAATTTTGAATTGAGAGTTGTGCAGCCGTAATTGTTGACTTTTGGTGAATAGTGTTAACTTTTTAACTTTTTGAGTAATTTTTTGGCTTTTTGGTTTTTTTGGAACATCCCAAACTTGGCCTTAGTACTAGTTTGACATGCGCTATTTTAATATATGATATTTTAACATATTATTTAATAATTATTTTATTTAAATAACGTCACTATTATATCATTTTAAATTTAATTTATATTTCAAGTTTTTTTTTATAAAAAGTCAAAAAATATATTAATCTAGCCCTTCTCAAACAACCTCTTAAGCTAAATGATGACCCTTATGCACAAGTATTATAGCATACTCTTAGGCCTCGTTTGGCAAGTGACTTTTTTAGCTAAAAAATTAAAAAGTTACTAAAAAAATTAAAAAGCCAACAAGTTATACCAAAAAGTCAAAAATTTCATTTTCTCTCTACTTTTTGCTCATTTTTTTGTAAAAAGTCAAAATTTTTATTTTATTTTTACTTTTTACTTATCTTTTCGTAAAAAGTCAAAAGTCATCCCAAACATTCTAGTTTTTTTTTACGTCATATTTTAACTAAAAAATCAAAAAATTACTAAAAAAGTATGTTTCCAAACGAAACCTTAGATGAATTGTGAACTTAAATATCATAATATTTATTGAGCTTAATTGGTACGTGTAATTTATGAGAGATTACAAACATCTTAAGTTTTATTTTGTACGGATGGATCAACCTTCACTATTATCATTAAAAAAAAAAAAAAAAAAAAAAGATGTAATAGAAAAAGGTGATATATCTCACATTGAAAATTATAATTGTACATGAGAAAAGTTACAAACGCAAAAAATGCACCGAAAACAAAATATACAGAAAATAAAATGTATGATCTAAATTCAAATTTAACATACCTAAGTAGAATTAAATCGACACATTTTATTTTCTGTGCACATTTTACATGTTTGTAACATTGCTGATTGTACATTGGGTAGTCACATTTTCAGTGGTTGCTAGTCATGAAATGGCTCAAACCCATAGCTGAACTCATTGAAGCAAACTTCGCCAGCTCTTGTGGCAAGAACGGCCGACCACCTTCACCTCCGACGCCGAGAAAATCTCTCGTCAGACTGTTTTCGAACACATTCGAACCTGGATTCAACTTCAAGGGAAGCATTGAATTGACACCACTTTGCATCATAATTTGCTCAAAATTGCTTGATGTACTAACCAGTGAGCTCAAACTTGAACTACCCATTACTCCGCCACCGCACACGGTGGCTAGATTGGCCGCGGACACCAAAATCTCCGCCGGTTTGGGCACAACCCGGTGGTTGAAAGGCGATGTATCAGACGAAGAAGGCGAATTCATGTTCATGTTCATGTTCATTACTCCAAAATTGTTTCCCAAAAATGATGGGTTGTGGTTGGGGTTGCTTCGTGTCGAACCCATCTGCGCCGCCTTCTGAAGAAGCGCGGTGGCGGACATTGGCACCACCCCCGGAGAATTCGATTGGTGGGTGTGGCTGTTCACTCCTCCGGAGAGTGAAAGATCTGCAGATTTTGATGTTGTCGCATTCTTGTCAATCCAATTATTACAATTACCAAAATTCGACATTGTCGACGATGAGCCAAACATGTTCGCCGAGCCAGACGACACAAAAAGATTCGAATTCGTCGACATATCGATGGTGTTGAGCTGAGGATTTTCTTGATCCAACCACAGTGACAATCCGGGCTTCCCGGCTGCCTCGGAGCCGTAATTTGGCCTGAAACCAGCACCAAATTGAGAAATTCCGGCATCGATTCCGGACTGCAAATTGGGCTGATGAGTGAGGTTATTATTGGCATTTTCATCTAAAGGCTCAGTTGTGAAGTTCATATGGGTAGCTGGAACAGGAGTGAGTCTTGCACTTTCTATAGCCAATGCATCACAAAATGCTCTGTGGGTGATGAAACTATCTTTCCTGAATCAATCAACAAAATCAAAAACCCATTTCAATTTAGAGACAAAAATTATTCGGAAAGTTGAAGTGTGCGTATCTTATTAAAGTCGACTTTTCGCATTTAATTCCATGCAAAAAGTAACAAAAATTCTTCAAAACTTGGAGACATCACAAAAAGCTCTATGAGTGATCCAATTCAAAAACCCCAAAAAAAATAATTCGAAAAATTATCAGAAAATGAAATGTGTGACATAACTAATTACACATAATCACATTAAATTCACTTTTCGCATTTACTTCCAACCAAAAACCCATGCAAAAACTAACAAAAATTCTTCGAAATTGATCCGAACAAGAACACACATATAAATAGAATCTCAAACCTGGAAAAGAGTGTGCCACAATCGCATTTATACTCTCTAGTCCCACAAGTCTTCGAATGAGCTTTCCAATCCGATTGAACTGCGTATTTTTTTGAACACTTCTCACACTTCCACTTCTTCTCACCATGTTTCCTGCTAAAATGTTTCTTAATCCCAGTGAGGTCGCCTAGCGCCCGCGAAGCGTGGTGGTGGACGCAGGTGGTTTCCGGGCATATATACACTTTCTTCTTAACCACCTCTTTGTTAGACCTTTGCTTCAGCTTCCATGGAAGATTGTGACCTCTTCTGTGAAGCTGCAAGTTCTGATCTCTCTGAAACCCTTTGTTACAGATTTCGCATACAAATCGATTTGTAGCCATTAAAGTCTTTGGTGATAGAGCTATCACTTCAGCATCTGGATCTGTAATATGCATCTACATGGTCAGATATATGTGTGTGTATATATATATTTTTTCAATTCCACATATTCGGTAGGAAGTGTTACCCCTTAACACCCATAACACATTTGCAGGAAAACTCACCACAGTTACGTTGGAAATGAAACTAAGGACTCTCGTGTGCTCTGGGTGCTAAAAAGTATATTTAACCCCAATAAGAAATTATATATTTGTGTGTGTATGTGATTATGCCTATGAAGAAAGAAGGTGGAGATTGATTTTGCTTGCCTGGTGTTCCGGGGAGATTTCTCTTCTTCTTGGCTGCGATTGTGTTGGATTTAGGGTTAGGGTTTGGATCTGAGTCTTGAGAAAACCCTTTAATGGAAGTGGGGATTGAAAAAACATCACCAGGCATCATTTGGGTCTGATTTTGAAGACGATGATGATGATGTGGGTTTAGAGCTGACAAGTTGGAAACTTGCAAGAAAACAACTTAGCTTTTGAAAGTAAAAAAACAGTACAAAACAAAAACAAGAAAAGAGTTTTTCACCAAAAACAAAGGGATGTGTAATCTTGGTGTTATTCAAATCTCTCTCTCAGAGTAATACAGGTTTGTGGGAAAAGAACAAGAAAACCCCAAGAAACAAAGTTGAATCCTAAAACATGGAAATTATTCTAAGACTTCGGACTCTTGTTACACCGAGAGAGATGTTGGAGTAGTAGTACCCTTTGTTTTGTTTTCTTTTTCTTTTCTAATCTCTCTTTCCTTTCTCTCTCTCTCTCTTTCCTCTGTAAGCCTCTACTCTTCCACGTCCTCTCTTCTTTATCTTAACCCTTTTTTTCAAAGTCGGCCAGCCATAGATTTAAGCTGGGCCACCAAGCCCAAGAGTCTCTGGTGTCACCCATCAATAAGATAATTACGAAATTAGACACATAAAATCGGCCTTATCGAAAAGGGATATATATTATTCCGTGATCGATTTTTATATTTTTAAATTTTTTTATAATTTAAATGAAATTAAGTTGACAATAATTTTCGTTTCGTTAATCTAATTTTGTAACATCGATTTTAACTGATTATCTTATTATCGTTATATTTAATATTTAAACCATATTTGGTCAATAAATTTTGAATACGACTTGAGGCGACACATAGCAGTCTCTGTTTGAAAAAATTTATTCACTGCCTTATTATTATAAATTTATAAAGTCGTACTTTGAAAAGTTAAAAGGTGTTTAGTGAAGTTTTTAAGATTTTAGCTTATTTACTTTTCTAGTTCAAAAGGGTGGAAAGTTAAATTTTATGAAAATGAAGTCTCAGATTTTTTTTAAGGCATTTTTTACTAATGAAAAACATTAAAAATTTAGTGTAATAATAATATTATTTTATAAGATGTCACAAACAAATACAAAATCGTAAATAGGATTAGGTGAACAATTCTTATTTATAATTAACTTAATCTAGTGTTCTATTACTACAATATGAGATTTTTTTATTAGATAGTAATACTACAGCATTATATCATTACAGTCATATTTACTCCAATATGACGTGCATTAATAAAATGTTCAATGTTATTACATACTCAAAATTTTACTTAAAAATATCAATATACAACATTCAATCTCCACCACATGATTTTTGACCAAAAAAAATCTGAACCCAATTTCTAAGTTCCCAAACTTACTGTAAAAATATTAGTATTTAAAATGAAACAACTCAAATTGATAAGAAAAATAGTGAGATTTATTAATTAGTAGCATTACTATACTGTATATTTAAAATAATAAAAAAATAAAATAAAAAAATTACATGAGGATATATATATGTATGTGTTGGCTGTATGCTGCTTGAAACCAGAATGTGTAGATTTATGTGTGAGTTGTCGCTTTTAGAGTTCAAATTCCTACTTCCAAAACCCAATAAAGAAATAAATAAATAATTTAAACTGAGAAGTAAAAAAGTGTATAAAATTGAGAAGCTGAGCATTGCAGCTGTGCCAGTGTTACTGCCACAATAAGGTACCTTCTATTTCTTTATGTATATATATATATATATATATTCAAAGAGCTCGAGCACACTAATCAATTATATTAAAATGATTTGTAAATATATTTTTTATATTGAACATTATTTCAAAATAACATGATAATAATATTTTTTAAATTGTAGATTATAATGATAAAAGTTTTGATTTGAAACATAAAATCATTAAAGAGATATGAAAAATAAGGACATTTGGTTTTCTTTTTTTCTTTTTTCTTTTTAGAATCTATTTTCTGAAAAATACTAAAAAATAATTTGGTGAAAAAATAATGAAAATTTCAAAAAACACTTTCACTTTTATATATATTTTTCCTTTTTTCTTTTTTGTCCAGAAATAACTTTCAAAAATTCAAAAAACATCTTTTCGATTGTTTATTTTCATCAATCTAATTTTTAATGTTTTTTAGAAAACATATTCTGAAAATAAATCCAAACAGAGCATAAAGATAAATAAATTTGGATCATTATGTTATAGTTTCATATTAGTTGTCTCAAAGAAATATTTCATGTGGTGTTATAAAGTGGACAATTTTTGGGCAAACATTTTCTGATCAGTCTATTGCCCTAACTTTAATCGGACCCCTTTCTAATAGACGGTGAGATTGATCCCTCAGATTAATTAGGCCCTTGTTTGATGTAACGTTGTCGTGCTTTTTGTTTTTCCAAAAATGCCTTTATATTCAATAACTATTAAATAGTTTTTCTCATTCATCAAATCGCCTAAAAGTAATTAACAATTTATTTATGCATCAAATTATCTAAAAATTTAAATATAAATTTATAAACACATCGTTGTTAATGTACATATTTATTGATGAGTGTGTATGCATGCACATGTTAAAGCTGATAAATGTCATTATTAGGATAGTGACATATAGATGAACAAATAAAATGTTCAATGTTGTGTAGCTTTCAACCTGTGAATTTGTTGGCAATGGAAGTTTTATAAAATCCTGTTCACAGTAAATTTGACATTTGTTGTGTGTGCATTTTCTAATATAGAATAAAGGAATAACTTTGTCTAGGTTGTTGTTATTTATAATTAGGGTAAAGTTTTTAATTCCTTAAAAATTAAGAAAAATTAAAAAAGAAAAATTTAATCCTAGAGGTTAGATGAGTTGGAGTAATTTAATCCAAGGTCTTGGATTCGAAACCTATATTAACTTTCTTATAGCCCTTGATTGAAATTGGAGGATGATGAGTGGGTTTCTCGACATGCTCTCAAGGATTGACTCGTAGGATTGGACCATAAATAGGTCCGACCTTGAAGTTTCCCAGTCATTTAAAAAAAAAACTAGTTTTGTGTTTTAATTATGTGTTTCAAATATTACGCCACTAATTTCATCATTTAATATTAGCATATTAAAACAAACTTATTGGAGCCATGAAAATGACCTCCCAAAATTATTATCTTAAATTCTGTTTTAATAATAATCCACGTATTGACTTGTGATTTTTTTATTAACAACGATCTTATTGCATTCATTTGTACTTTGAGGTGAAGTTTGGCAAGTTAAAAAAAAGTCAAAAAGTTATCACTATTTACCAAAAGTCAAAAATTACGGATGCACTACTTTCAATCCTAATTTTTCTCTACACACTAATTTATACAATTTTTTAATACACATTTTTTCACAAAAAGTCAAAAAGTTAACACAAACAACTATTTTTTTTCCCTCAACTTTTTAGTCCAAAAAGTCAAAAAGTGCATTTATTTAGGACATCCCAAACAATCCCACTGAAGACTTTGAAATTCTTTTAGTATAAATATATTAATAATTAACAAGGAAAAAAGGCAAGATGAATGAATTGATATTACAATGGAAAATAATGTAGAGTTGTGCTTCGAAAAATTCAATAATGTTATGTAAATAGAATATCTGCACATAATTTTCACATAATAATATAATTATTTTTTATTATTTGATTTTAAATCAAAATGTTCACTATTGTGACTCGTAATTTAAAAAAAGAGAAATCTAATGGTACATATGCACCCTACTATAAATTGGCATAATTTTATCATAAAATTTCAAAACATTAAGTACAAACTACATAACCTTACAACAAACTAGCGTAGCAAAAAATATCGTAATCAAGTCACAAACTTTTGTTACATGAATCATAATTTTTTAAACATTTTGTTAAGTTATTTTGTGACGAGATTATGTATTTTATGGTTAATATTACAAAATTTTGTGATAAGATTACGAGAATTTGTGATAAGATACATATGGTACGTCCTTACGATTTTGCTTTAAAAAAAACACTATCATATTGTTTGGCTGAATTTTTATTAGAGAATATTATTTAATGTGTTTAGTTTCAGTTTTTTAAAAATAATTTTTTTTATTTTTTGTGTTTTTATTTTTAGTGAATATTTTTAAAATTTTAAGTAATTTTTTTACTTTTTCAGATGCATCTTACTTAGATGTATCTAAATAATAAAATATTTGTAAAAACATATTTTAAAAAGTTAATAAATACACAAAAATATGAAAAATGTACTGAATTTTTGTATTTTTGTTATTTAGTAAATTTTTTAAAGATTTTTTTCATAAATATTATACCTTTTAAGTGTATTTATGTTAGGTGTGTCTAAAAATTACAAAAAAAAATTACTTAAAATATTTAAAAATTCATTGAAAACCAAAAAAAAATACGAAAAATAAAAAAAGTAGAATTTTCTTGAAAAATATTTTCTGAAAACCAAATAAACTGATTATTATTATTATTAGGCAGGCCATTTTCCTTTGTTGATTCGAATTTTTTAATTTTTAGTAAATTTTAAGTAAATCATTTATAAAAAAGTAGTATTAATAAGATATCACTAAGAGCATCTCTAACGGTGACTCAAATTTTTCACCAAATTTGAATTAAAAATGACCCATTTCACTAAATTTGATACCATTCGCTCCAACGGTTCACCTTTTACCAAATCTATCCCGGGACAACCGGGTGGTCGACCGGCCAGTCGATCGGCCGGTTGACCGATTAGGCAAATTTTTTTTTTTTTTTTTTTTACGGTTTGAAATTTTTTCCTAAACTGTTTGAATCTTTTACTGGTCGACCGGTTGGTCAACCGGCCGGGCAACCAAATCTCCTGAACTGTTTGTATTTTACCAAATCTCGAGGGGAGTGTTTGTAATTTGCCATTTTGAGATTTACTGTAACTTCTATTTATTTTGAATTTTAACAAAACTCTGCTTTATGCTTTTTTTTTTTTGGTTCCTTTCTTGTTTTATGCATACATGGACCTCATTTGTCAACATCTATGCTATTCTATAAAACAAACACTCAAGTTGGATCTTGAAAATTGAAGTGATTTGGTAAAATCTGTGTCTCGTTCTCAGTTTGATGCTTTTTTTGCTGAAATCTCATTTTGATATCAATCTGGTGCAACGGTTGGAGTTTAAAAAAGTAGGTTTTTCATCAAAATTTGAATTTGATGCTGGGTTTGGTTCACCGTTGGAGATGGTCTAACATGTTTGAATCAGATTTTTCTTGCAAAATAGATTATTTATTTGTTAAATTATATTTTTCATTTATTTTTTTAAGAGATTCTATTAATGATAGTCCTAAGAGTTACAAAAATATTTATAATCTTAATATATATTTTAGAGAGGATAAGAGGGGAGCCATGAAGTGGCGGTGACAGAAAACTAAATCAGAAAGGGCACTTATTAATTATAATTTTAATTTTTTTCTATAACCAATAATAAGAAGATAATAATAACTTTTGAATTAATATTACATACAAAAATTTAAATAA